AGGAAGCTGATCATTCCTTCTCTGTAAATGAAAGTGAAAGAGATTTAAAGCCAGGGTCGCCATTTTAGCAAAAAGAACGAAAAAGATTCTGGGAGGATTTAAAGATATTTGCTTTGCAAGGTAAGATTATAGTCAACAGATGTAACTGATGAAATATGAATGTTTAACCTGAGGCGTATACAGAAAAATTTTGCTTTGGGTGGCCCTCAGGGTTCAGTTATATTTATGGGGGCGGCCACACCCGACCGTGTCAGTTCTATGATTCCGTTTCGAAAGTAAGTTAATCTATATTTCATTTTTATTATGTTGATGTCTGGTGGCTACCCCTTAAATCCATCCCTGTTTAACACACATACTGGGATTTAATACTTCTCAACATAATTAGATGTTTAATGTAGTTTGAAAACTGTAACTAGTTGCATGGAGTAAATGCTATAGAATATTTTGCGGAATATTAAGTGAATTACTAAATTTGTATAGAATGATATTTAATAACTTAAGCACAATGATGGGACACTAGGCAAACAAACTAGTTAGTTAGTTTCTGGGCTCTGTATTTAATCAGTCATTTCCGGAATAGCAGTTCAGGTAACTAGATGCTGCGGAGTCTGTAGGGGCCACAAACAGTGCGGAAAACTAAACTGTGTGCACATTTTAGGGATTTTGTGAGCTAGATGTAGTATTCCGTGGGCACATTAACCAAAATTGTGCGTCTGATGCAGTATAAAAAAAACCCTGTCCGTGACATTTCCAGGGCTTCTTAATTAAGATGGGAACGAGTTTGTGTGTGCATGAATACTAGGGTTTCGTGGCAATAAATTTATTTGTACAAATATTTGTAATAAGACACAATATTTTTATAGTCAAACTTGAGAATGCTATTCTCTGAAAAATAGCCACAAAGGTTGCATCCAATTCTACGTTTGTGATTTTTGGAACCCCAGTAAAACAGCCTTGATCCCATTCTCTCTCATGTCGCTCATTTTCCTCAACTGAAATGGCAAAGTTACATGTCTATCCCTTCTCTCATAGAGAATTTCATGTTTTTGTGTGACCTTCATGTTCCTCCCCATCCCTGTAACCATGGGAAGGGAAACTCCACACCCAATAAAACCTGATTTTAGTGATTCTCATAATGTACAATATATACTGTACTATATATTACAGAAGCTTTCTTTACTTTTTGCATACAGATCCGAATCTTACCTTGTAGTTTACTTGTGAATAGTAAAGAAAACTATTGAGAACAATTCTCACCTTTAATTAAAGCAATAATTTCATCTTAAATTATTTTTCTATCTTCTGCTTTATGAAATCAGCCATGCAATCTTGTTTTACGTGTTTTTAGTTTGGTAGAGATGAGGAGGCAGAAACAAACCAGTCTATATAACATGTCTGTCTTTCAATTTAAGTTAAACTGAAACTACAGCAAAAACTTGATTCAAGTGACTTTACTTCTAAGTGGATTTTCAGTATAAGAGGTAAGTGTGCTCCTCTATGGTCTTATTCTCTCTCATTCGTTTTGAATATAACATAAAATGTAAAAATTTATTTTTATAATAAAACTTGATTAAAATTAAACTTAATATCTGAATTAACATGCACTGCTGTCAAATTTAGTTTTCTGTCCAGTAATAAAACTGATACCAAATTGTTCTTGCTTTTACATAAAACACCTGCTTATTAAAGCAAATTTACTGGTTTGCAGAGGAAAGCATGGCATGCATGGATGGATTTGGAGATGACTTCTGTTCACTTTTTGAATTCCTTTTGGAACATGACAACACATGGAGCGATAGTAGGACGTACATCATGTACCATGGTACCACAGGAACAGCCGCATTATATATTAAAAAGCACGGATTTCAGCAGTCCAGTGATGGCATGCTTGGACCTGGAGTCTATGTCAGTCGGAGCTTTGAGAAGGCCCAAAGATACCCAATAAATCTACCCTTCAACGAACAGCAAGCTGTACTCAAGCTGAGGGTTCAAGTAGGAAAAGTAAAGAAGATCGACAAGCAGGGACACCCCCTCCAAAAAACC